TAAATGTTTCCAAGTTCATAGTGAAGAGGCTTCAAAGCAGCAATGCGACTCTCCCATCTTGTCTAAGTGGTTTCACAGTTAGAGAATTCACATGGCGAGTCAGAATCTCCCAACGGCGTGTTGAGCCTGAGAAAAACACATAAACACGTTGCACCAGGTCCAAGAAACTGTTTGCCTCCAAACAGCATCTAGCAGCATCACTGACAACCAAATTCAGAGAATGTGCATTGCAAGGAATGAAAAAGGCCCTAGGATTGACTTCCATCATTTTCTTTATTCAAGATCTTGTAGAATAGTTTCAGTCATAAAGGCTCCAGTCGTCCTCTTCAGTGGTACGAAACCCCCGAAATGTTCCTTTTTGAACATTTCAACCTTATCTTTATCTGCAGACTTTTCCATATCCACAAAACGAATGATCATTGTCATTATGTTCAACATGACTCACATCTGGTGTACAGTCCACTATTAATGAAAAGTATTTTGCGGAATGGGCAGCTTCTACAATTTTCTTTTTAATGGCATTTGCTAGGATTTGAATCAGTTCATTCTGCATATTTTTTTCTAAGTAATGAACCTGTGTTTCAAGATCCATTATTTTACGTAGACGCTCCTTCATGACTGGATCAAACAAAGCTAGGTATTCAACAAATTTTAAAAAGTTTCCATTACCTGGAGTTATAATTTTTCATTTCTACTGGGGCCGCAGAATGCTAAATTTTGCCCACTGAGAAATCTCACTAAAGCAATGAGACATTCTAATATTTATTGCCAATATTCTTCTTTTCCCTTGATATCACATATAGTTCCTTCATCGATAGTTTTCCTTTTTCAATCATAATTCAAGTTCTTTCCAATTTTGAAAACATTGCAAATGTTCTGTACTTCTTTCATGTGAAGAGAGAATAGAAGATATTATTTTCCAGTCCTTCAAACCATTTTCAGTAAGTGGTGTACCACTTGCTTGATTTCTAAACAACTTGCAGCAAAAGCAAAACATGGAGTCCTTCAACACTGAATATTGTAACTAGTTTCGATGAATTTCTTCCCCATTAATGAGTTTCCTCTTGTAATGCTGAGCAGAGAATTTTCTTTTATTTCCACCCTTACGGAAGGGAAATTCATGAATTTCTTCGGGTCCATGTTCCACAAGAATTTGCCACACACTCTCATCACATCTGAGACATGAAGCTGGGTCTACACACTGTAAATTGTTTGTAACTTCCTCATCCTGTCTTCCTTCTTCTTCATTACTTCAATTTCTGCATGTCTCTCTGAAGGTAAATAAATTTTCTCCACTTCCATATGAGTCTGATACTGTGAGCTCCCTTCATCTAGAAGTAAGTTTCCATCATCTTGATGTTCCAAACTACTTCCATGTGGATGTGACCTAACCTCCTCTCCAAGTAAAAGTCCTTCATCTGGATGCTGTGAACTACTTCCATCTTTATTTGGATTAAAGAGAAGATATTTCTGGAAGGATCCCTGCTGTTTTGCTTGGTCCTTTTCTTTCTCAGCCTTTCATTTCCAATCCTCATCTCCTGAGGGTTTTCTTTTTCCTCTTTCTGCCATGGGACATTTGAATATTGTTATGTACTATGCTCCCGACTAAAAGCATTATACCGTTCAGGATGGCTGACACACCCACCACATCGTTGGCGATTTAAAGCACATTGCAGCCATCCCAACACGTCTTTTCACTGCTTAAAGGTCCAATGATTAGTAACATACATTCACTTACCTATTAAAACAGTTAGTTACAGCGTTTACATGGAAACAAAATGACCTTTTTCGACATTATAACCCAACACTGGTTGTTTGGAAAGTAATCCCCTTCCTCACAGTTACCCACTTGGAGTGTGACGTCATCACTTTCGTAGTGTATTAAGCATTAACACTGTTACTTTTCTTTTATGGACCTTATTTATTACATGTGAACCAGTTATAACAAAGAAAAGTTCATAATTATACAGCCTGAGAATAACACTAAGGTTTAATAACGTTTAAAGATACTCACATTTTGGATTTATAATGCTGAAATGTCATTCTTTATTCTTTGGCACCAAGAAACACTATTTTCCACAATATTTGCTCAATTCTTAACTATCTACCTATGACGTGTTAAAATGACCATTTTACAAGTATCAACTCGTGGTATCTCCGCTCTACATGAATTTCTGGCTATGCGACCTTGATTTATGTTCAAGTTAGGTGTCACTAGCATTGCAGCTCTTGCCACTGGCAGAAGTGTTTCATTGTGGTTGAGTTATTGCTTATCAAAATTGCAGAGTGGGTCATCTTTACCCTATCTCGCAAATTTGAAAAAAAAATTCAGTGAAATATTATTTTTGAAGTAAATAAAAGCTTTGACATATTAATAAATTTTCAGAAATGTAGAGAAATGAATTATAATTCACATTCCCTCGATATACGAATGGGAATTGAAATAATGACATCTTCGTTATTTTATTTGTATTTTTTTCATCTTTTTCGGGGTTCTCTCTTTTTTTTAATTTCATTTTTTTCCTCGAATTTGGCGCCCCATTTAACTTGGCACCCTAGGCAACTGCCTAGTTAGCCTGTATTTCCAAGCTGCATCAGAGGTTTTCATTGGGCACATGTCACATGTCACGGCCACTCCCTCTTTACTCACCTGAGAGCTGAGGCAATCAGAGCTTGGATGGGAGATAGCTGTTTAGCCCAATCACCGTCTCCATGCTCTGGAACGGCTCTGAATGAAGCCAGGCAGGACTTTGGTGCAGTGTGTCTCCCTCAGGGTGCACTCTCACCAGGGCAAGAGATCAAAGGATCTTTATAGTTCACTCCCATGGGACAAGAGTGTCACCACTTGGTCTGTGTTCCTTATGAAGGAGATCAAAGAGCTGACAGGCCAACGCTCTCTGTGCGCACAACAGGATCTACCATGACACTATCCAGCCACCGCTCTCCTGCTCATGAGGGATGTCCTGTCCTTTGCAGGAGAGAGAAGAGGAGTGCGATGACCTTACATTTCCACCTCAACCCATCTACTGAAATTCTGTCAGACCAAAGCTGATACCTGGGAAATATCCTAATTGTGTTTCTACACAAGGCAACACTCAGGGAAGGTGAGATGAGCACCCCACTGCTTCTCTTTGGACTTGCAATATCACATGTGGGTTACACCTGGACTATACAATACTTAAAAAATGTTCAAGAAGTGATCAAAGACTTGATGATTTATAGCAGTGCCCCCCATTGCGGGGCGCCCGCCTACTGGCCACCGGACAAGCAGCCGCCGAAATGCCACCGAGAAGCGGCAATGTCAAGAGGTGCTGCCGCCGAAATGCCA